GACACAATTGAGATCAACACTGCCTTTTAACCTTTGTGTAATTGCCAATATTCTATCTAAAAATGCATTCAACTGTTCATCTTTATCTTTACAGATTCTCCAAGAAAAAGAAAAAGAAACATAAAACCATGATGGTATGGAGTTTCTACAAAATCTGTGACTGTATTGAAAATTTAAGGAAACTGAGACTTGGGAAGCTATTTATTTGGTCTTCTGACCTAGCTTTCTAGTATTCTAAAAAAAATGAGGGAACTAGGAATGCTAGAGATTACACCAATTAACTCGTTGTAATAAATATTTCTCAGTGAATCCACTGTTCTCAAAGACTATGAATCCATATGTTTTAGCTTAGGTCCTTGTATAACCCTCATTATTGTAGTATTTGAGCACTTCTCAGTCTTTTGTGCATTTATCCGAACACCCCACATATGAGTTAGCTACATTTGCCAGATAGCTTCACTGTGCCTCAGTTTTTGAAGTGGCTTTCCCATGGGAACTAAACTTGAATGTCCTAATCCTAGCCTATTGCCATAACCAGACAGTCCTTTCTTTCAGCTAGAACGGGTTGCTGGCTTCCATTAAGGAAACCATTGTAGGCATAGTCCTCAAAAATCCACCACTTGACTCTAAGGGTACGTCTAGACTACATGCCTCTGTCACCAGAGGCATGTAGATTAGGCTACCTGACATAGTAAAATGAAGCGGCGATTTAAATAATCGCCGCTTCATTTAAATTTACATGGCTGCCGTGCTGAGCTGACAAACAGCTGATCAGCTGTTTGTCGGCTCAGCGCGATAGTCTGGACGCGCGGGTGTCAACATCAAAGGTATTTGACGACCACCCAGGTAAACCTCCTGGGACTTTTGTCGACAAAACTATACCTGCGTCTACACTACTGCTGAGTTCTGTCGACATAACGTCGACAGAACTCAGCAGTTTTGTCGACACTGGTAAACCTCATTTTACGAGGCATAACGCCTTCTGTCGACAGAAGGTGTTATTGCATATAGGGTTGAGTCTAGACTTGCTTTGTCAACAGAACTGAATGTAGTCTAGACGCTCTTTGTTGACAGAAGCTTTGTCGACAGTATCTGTCGACAAAACTTCTGTCGACAAAACCCTGTAGTCTAGACGTACCCTTAGTAAGGTACTTTTGTCTGAGTTTGCTAAAGTAACTATTCTATTGATTCTCCTTATCTTGTCTCCCAGCACCCCATTTCTACCCAACACAATTCTAATTGTTGTTTAGAAGATTGAGAGAATCCATTATCTGGTTGCCTCAGATCTTTGACCCTTGTTAATCTGTATAACATGCTTTGGCTGAACTTTTCCTGAAGTGAACACCTGTCATGGAAAATTTCATCCCATACATTTAAAATTGGCAGTCATAAGCAACTGAAAACAGGATCTTTTAATTGGGGAGTGTTGTAATAGGGCTAATAAAAATTGCAAGATAAAAGTGTTATCTAATCCTCTCTTTTCAATTCCTTAATGGCTAGGGGTTCTTGGAAATTCTGAGCTGTGACTTATACTTTTGATAAATACTCTTTGGCTCTCTCCTCTTCTCTTCATCACAGGCTGAGTCTTTCTCAAAATTCCACAGACAAACTTCAATTCTCTTAACCTCACTGCATCTCACATAAAATATCAGTGTAAAAGTAGACAAGGTAGATTTCATTGTGACCAATTGTTTAATTGGTAAATCTGCAATTACTGCACATATAGTTACCAACTAATTATCTGAAAGCAATAAATACATTTTTCTTCTTTGGATAGACTTATGAAGACTCTTTGAGCAATAAAAGTGCAGACGATAGTATACTTGAACAAAAAGAAGCTGACACTGTGGACCAGGACAACAGCATAACAGAAGAAATGGAAAATGTTGGCCAAAGCAATACTGCTTGTGATAAAGCAAGTACTGCAGAAGTTGTAGATCAAGTTAATGAACCAAAAAGTGAAGCAAAAAGGTAACAGCATTACTTTGATGACTTGTAATGAATAACAATTTACACTGTTACATACTTTAATTTAATAATCCATTTTTTTAAAGACTGAATTTCTTTACATCATTGAAAATGAGTTTTATAAGAGTAAAACTGATATGTTAGACTTAGGTCTTAGATTGGCAGTTTCTTTAGATTGCAAATAACCCACTCTTAAAAAAACAATATCCAGAGAGATCATCTTGTTACAAATATGATGATTTTATAAATAATATTGCTTTGCTGTTAAAAATTGGATTTTATAATGATTTACAGAGGACATTGGCAGCGGCACAAATGGGAGTTAAGCACTTAACTAATGTTTGTGCTTTTAAAAACCTCATTCTGTTAACTCTATCAACTTGATGAATGGTTCTGGATCAACTTGATGAATGGTTCTGGGCATTAATTATAATACATAGCTATCCCAAAAGCCATCACAATAGGGCAATAGTTCTCAGACTTTCCAAACTACTGTCAGAAATCTGATTTGTGTTACACGCCCCTCCCCCCATTTCACCTCCCTTAAAAACCACTTGTTTACAAAATCAGACACAAAAATACGAGTGTCACAGAATGCTGTGACTAAATAGGGTTGCCAGGTGTCCGGTTTTGAATCGGACAGTCGGTATTTGAGCTTTCTGTCTGGTATTTTCTAATCAAGTTTTATTATTATCATGAGTATCGGGCCAGCCCCATTCCCTGCTGGTCGGTTTGCCCTCCTGGCCAGCCCTGCTCCCTGCCAGCCTGTGCCCGTCTCCCCCCTTCCCCACATATCCCGTTCTGAGATCACATGTGTGGAGGGAGCAGAAGATTAGCTGGGGCTGAGTGAGAGCTACAGAGGGATACAGCAGCTTTGTAAAGAGGTTCCACTTTTGGTAAAGTCCTGTTGAAGTTTGTTAGTACCTTGCTTACATGATACAACAGTAGGCAACCCCGGTTCTCCTCCTAGCCACCATGGAAGGCCGAGCTGAAGTTGCAGCTGTGCCGCCCTGGGCACCTTCTCCCTCCCCTGGCTGCACCAGCCTGGGCCCCTTCTCCCAGCCGCCTCAAGCTGTGCCAGCCCGGGCCCCTTTTCCCTCTACCCCTGCCCTGGCTGCACCAACTTAGGCCCATTCTCTCTCCCATCCTCACTGGACTAGAGGGGTTCAACCTGTAGTGCTCTTTATGTAGTCTGTTGTAAAACTAGGCTGAGTTGTAAAACTAAATGAGTTGATCTTCCCCTGGAAGATGTGTGTCCATGAACCCTGGGTTGAGAACCATTGCAATAGGAAGTAATTTTGTTTATACTGAAGTACTCATTTTTTTTATTTCTATTGTAAAATTAGAACTCTGTTTATGGTCTTATTTTTTTTTTGCTGGTGAAAGTGGAACAAAAGTTTTAAATGTTTAAAAAAACAAGCTGAGTGGGAAAAAATTACAAACATTTATACATTTCAAATAGTACACTGAGAAATAGTTTATCAATAGGAACTAGTTAATAAAGAACATAAGAATGGCCATACTGGATTGGCTCAGTGGTCCATCTGTTCCCGTACTGTCTTCTGACAATAACCAGTGCCAATTATTTCAGAATCAGGGGGAAAAGACAGTTATTGAGATTCTGACCCCTTTTGTCCAGTACCAGTTTTGGCAGTCAGAGGCTTAGGATACCAGAACATGGGGTTTCATCACTGACTATATTGGCTAATAACCATTGATGGATCTATTAGCCATGACGTTACCTAATTATTTTTAATCCAATTATACTTTTGGCCATAAGTTTCATTATCGACTGCTATTGAAGAAGTACTACCTTTTATTTTAAATCTTCTGCCTATTAATATAATTGGGTGACCCTGGCTCTTATGTGAAGGGGTAAATAACACTTCCATATTCACTTTCTCAACACAATTCATAATTTTGTAGACCTGCTATATCCTGCCTTACTCATCTTTTTCTAAAATGAGCAGCCTCCATCTTAATCTGTCATCTTATGGAAGCTGTTCATACCTCTAACCATTTTTGCCTCCCTTTTTCTGTACTTTTTCCAGTTCTAATACATCATTTTTTGAGATGGGGTGACCAAAACAGCACAGAGTCTTGAACATGTGGGAGCCAGTGGCATTATATATTTCTATAATTCTGTTTCCTAACAGTGCCTAACATTGTCAGCTTTTTTGACTGCTGCTGCACATTGAGCTAATGTTTTCAGAGAATTATCCATTTTTCCTCCCTCCCCAAGATCTTTCTTGAATTGTAACAACTGATTTAGACCTCATCACTTTATGGATATAGTTGGGATTATGTTTTTCAGTGTGCATTACTTTACATTTATCAGTGCTCAACTTCATCTACCTTTTTATCATCCAGTGTAGTGAGGCGCCTTTGTAAGTCTTCCCATTCAGATTTGAATTTAACTGTCTTGACTAATTTTGTCACCTACAAACTTTGCCACCTCACTTAGCCCCTTTTCCAAATCATTTATTAATATGTTGAACAGCACAAATTGCAGTACAGAGCCTTGGGGGATCCCCTGTTTACATCCTTCCATTTTGAAAACTGGTCTTTTATTTCTACTCACTGTTTCCTATCTTTTAACCGGATACTGATCCATGAGGGAAACCCTTCTGCTTATCCCATGACTGCTTACTTTGCTTAAGTGTGTTTGGTTTTGTCAAGATAGCACCATTTTTGCCAGTTCTCATGACTAAGTATTGTGATGTACGGACACTTGCATGGAGAATTTTATACGAACAGTCACAAGCAGTGCAGTTTACAGTTTTTGTGAAGTGCTCCTTTTTACAATAAACCTGTAAATCACTGTGGATGTGCTTTTTTGCAAGAACTCAAACCAAAATAATGAAGGCAGCTTGTTTTCTCTGTGCAAGCTACTTCTAGCTTTCATGCATAACTCCAGCTTTTTCAGTGCTTTAACTGTTTAGATTTTTTTTAATACTAACAGTATTGTCATGGGGTAAAGTACATTATGTTCCCCTCCCCCCAAACACACTTGTTCTCCAAGGCTACCTACACTACAAGTTTTTGCGGCAGAAAATATACTAATGAGGAACTCATTAGTATAAGTCGCTATCTCATTTACATATTTTCTGCCAATCCATTTTTCACTAGGGGTTTTTGCACAAAAAGAAGCAGCGTGTGCAAAACCCTCTTTTTGCGCAAGATCCTTATGCCTCAAAAAAGGGGGTATACTGATCCACAGGAAAAATTTTCAAATCAACATAATGCACTTAAATAGTTAATGTATGCTGTTCTCCATTCTAACTGTAGCAGTCACCTCCATTAGAATAACTGCCCAAGGTTTGAGGGAAAAGTGAATCACACACAAAAATGGCTATACTGGGCCAGTCCATTAAGCCCTATATCCTGTATTCCCACAATGGCCAATGCTATGTATGGCAGAGGGAGTGAACAGAACAGGTAATCAAGTCATTCATTCCCTGTTACCTATTCCCAACTTCTGACAGATTCTAGGGACACCATTCCTACAACTATCCTCCATGAACTTATCTAGCTCCTTTTTGAATCCTGCTATTGTCTTGGATTTTACAACATCTTCTGTCAAGGAGTTCCACAGGTTGACCGTGCATTGTGTGAAGTAGTACTTCCTTTACTTTTAAAACCTGCTACCTGATAATTTAATTTGGCGCCCCCTAGTTCTTGTTAGTGAAGGAGTAAATAACTCTTGTTTATGCACTTTTTCTCACACTAGTCAAGATTGTATTACTTATTCCAATGCCAAAATTTCTTTTTTGTTGAGAGGAGGCAATCTCATCTGCATGCAGTATTCACGATGTAGATATACCATGGATTTATAGAGAGGCAACAAGGTTCTTATTTTCTCCCTTTCTTAATGATTCCTAATGTTTATTAAACAGAAATTAATAGTGAACCAAAAACTGAATTTAGGAAAGTATCTTCAACACTAGTTCGTGCAAAATACTTAAACAAAAAACCACTCTATAGGACCTGGTGTGAAGCTGCAAAGTTAGCAAATGTTTCCTTTCATTTCTGTGTTCAGGTAAATGCAGAGAGAGTTGAACATTTCATTATAGCAGCATTCATAGCTCCATTGTTCTCTGGTAATCTTTTCTTCAACCTATTTGTTTAAATATTGGCCTACTTAGGTTCCAGTCCCCATTGAAGTCACTGACATGGGGTTAAAAAGACTTAGTAATTAAACTATCAATCCTGCTGAGGGTACAATAAAGATAGACTGAAATGTTAAATTCCCTTCTTTTTTTCAGCAACCCTAAGCCTAAAGGAAAGAAAGCTAAGGATACAAAAAAACCTGTTAAGGTATCTCAAGAAACGGTATGTGGAAAGTATTTAAAACTACAGATTCTTATGGCTGGTAAAAACAATACCTTAAAAAATAAGACTTTGATCTGGTAGTTTTCCTGCTCCTGACACTTTCTTCAGTTCTTGAAAGCTGCTTTTGCATGTGTTTCTCACGTATTTGACCACAAGACACTTCTTGTTTATGCATGTTTACTAAAACCTAAGAAAATTGGCTACATTCTTTTCTTTGGAAATTTTTTTTTTTTTTTGTAATAAAACTATTTTATCTTAATTTAGAACAGTTTTGTACATACATTGATTTTGCACTTCTAGAGCCATCTACACTAATCTGTCTTCTGGTGTCTCTGGGTGTCTAGCTGTCAAATGAAAACAAAAAAAAAAGGCTGCTATCACAATGTTTATATACTGCCACGGACAGTGGGAATCCTTCGCCTGTAAGGTGTTCATGCAGTTGAGTTTAAAATAATGGCATGACTCTCTTATTAAACGTATGGAGGCAGTGGGGCTCTCAACAAGGGTGGGAGGGAGTAGCTGCCCTGGGGCCAGGCATTTAAAAAAGAGCCACCCTTTAAATTGCTGCCAGAGCCCTATGCAGTACTTTGTGGGTACCACAAAGGGCTAGCTGGGGAGGCCTGCTGCCCAAAGCCCCGCCTCTTTCAGGGGCATGAAATTGGGACCCCTCCCACTTGTTCAGAGGCCTGGCAAGTCTCTCTGTAGCCATGGTAGGCTGTTAGCTGATGCTTCTTATGAAACTATATTGTAGTAGCACTAAGTTGGAGCCCTATTGTATTTGGCAATGTACAAACAGTGACAGCAGTTCAATTTATATTATACACATACTGGTGAATATAGATTTCAGTTTATTAAAAATGTGTAAATAGCATTATATTTAACTTGGTGGTAACTGCTAGTAATCATCTCCTACTGTCATTCAACTTTAAGCATACATATTAGTCTTTTCTGTTAGTACAAAAAATTTAACATGGGGGAGAAACTTCAAATCTGAAATTTGTTTTAAAATGAAAGCCCAGGGAAAAAACAGTATGTGCATAGTTTTGTTGTAGGGAACACTGTTTAAAATTGTAGTGACAAGGAGTCCTATAGCGCCTCAGACTTAACAGCTGTATTGGTGCATAAGCTTTTGTGGGCAAAGACCTACTTCATCAGATGCATGTAGTGGAAATATCCAGAGGCAGGTATAAATATGCAGGCCAGAATCAGGCTAGAGATAACGAAGTTAATTCAGTCAAGGAGGATGAGGACCACTTCTAGCAGCTGAAACTTGCAGATGAAACCATCAGCTCAGGATTAAACAGACTGTAAATGGCTAGCTAACTACAAAAGCAGCTTCTCCTCTCTTGGTATTCGCACCTCCAGATCAGCTGCTAGAAGTAGGCCTCATCCTCCCTGACCGAATTAACTTTATCTCTAGCCTGATTCTGGCCTGGCATATTTATACCTGCCTCTGGATATTTCCACTACATGCATCTGATGAAGTGGGTCTTTGCCCACAAAAGCTTATGCGCCAATACATCTGTTAAGTCCATGAGGTGCTACAGGATTCCCTGTTGCTTTTGCAGATCTAGACTAACATGGCTACCCTGCTGCTACTTAAAATTGTAGAATTTCTTGCAGTTCCCTAATTTGGCACATAAGGAGAAGTGCTGAATAGAGCATATTTGCCATAGAATAGTTTTCTTATGTTTAAAAAGTTAACTTTTATTTTTAAACTGATTAATATGCAAGTAAAACAGTAAAATACTGTTATTGTTTCCACAGTACCTACTAACATGAAGCATTGTATTTTTTTTTCTCCAACCAGAATGAAGATGTTCCTATTCACTGTATAACCTGCAGTTGTGAATTTCAGTCCAGGAATAAACTATTTGAACACTTAAAGGCCACAGGCCATGCAAAAGCAATGCAAGCACCAGCTGCAAATGGTGCTGGGAGCAGCAGAAACAAAAAAGATAAACGTAAAAACAGATAGGACTTCTTGATTGTTTTAAACTGTCAGCTTTTGGATGCATAGGTGAAAACTCATAAAACCAAAGGACAGAAATCCTACAATCCAAATTAAATTGGAGCAGTTCTTGAGCCTACAGCAATTACATTGTGGCAAAACATTTTTATATTATACTTTTTTTTTTTTTTTTTACCAATACTTCATTAACAACTGAATTTCATCCTGCTCATTCCAGGGCCTTGAAAGTCTTGAAAAAAAAATTCTAAAAGCTGGTCATCCTAGATACCTGGTGGGACATGCAACTGTACAGAGGGAGGAAATAAATTATTTTAACACTTATTTTGCTGTTTATTTTATAGATCTCATCTATTATGATGTAGGATGGCGTTTGTGTTTGACCATCTGTCCATAGCTTTCTGAGTTTGTTGTTACAGTGGTTTACTAAGACTTAAGAGCTGTGGTTCTGTATGGAATAATATAGAAACTTATGTAGGGTGTGATGCAATGTAAGGCCCCCACAACTGTATAAAACTGTTTGTAAGGTAAGGGCTAATTTATCTCTAAACTTTACCATTTTGGCTGTGTAAGTGTGATTACATCTTTGATTGGACCAAATACTTAAAAACAGTTAGTTGAAATTAACTCAATTGTAAACTGATTAATAGGAGGACGGTTTTAATCCCATCTTAACCTTTTTTCCCCCCTGCTCAGTGTAATCTAATGTGAGATCTCTGCTGATGACATATGGGGCACATAGCAGCATCTAGAGATGGAGCACTGCTCTGAGTCAAAGGAGAGAAGATCACTGAGGCTGAGCAAGAGACTGGCTCAGAACCTAGTGATATCCTTATTTTAATATGGTTTTTCTCTAAACTGCTAAACACAATCCATCTGCATGTTACAAGCTACCTGTACAACTTTTCTTCATTGAAGAGCTTCCAGCCTCTAGAAATTTGACTCCTCCTCACTTCCTAGTAATGTGTGTCAAGAACAAATCTACAATCAAGCAGCAAAAGCAATTACAACTTTTAAGATCACTAGCTACTAAGCAAATGTTACTGTAGCAAGATTACCCAGAATAATTCTTATGTCACTGCAGAAACTACATCCCAGAATTCCAGCTCATAACAGTTCTTCCTTTCTTTGCCTGACAGTTTTGCTATTCCAGATCTGTTGTAAAGCAGTATCCCTTAGCATGCCTTCTCATGTATGCTAGCCTGAGCACATCAGCCAGACTCACTTGCTGGTGTGACATGTTTTCAGACTAGTTAGCATTAATTAAAAAGTGTTTGTCTTAACTGGTATTTTCGTTATACAAGATATGTACCTTTACTACGCATGCAAGAAATCAGTCTCGTTGTAAACTGAGTGATCTCACATTACTTAAGCATAATTTATTATTTAATTTAAAATATTCAAAGCAGCTAAATTAGATCAATCTTATCTTCATGCTATACATTTCTTGCCAGTTGTACTTATAGCAATATTTCAGAGTTGGGAGGGTGAATGTTACCAACCAAACATCTTGTCTAAGGAGAAACATTAAGAGTCTATATTGCAGTTTCTTGCAGATGTCTCATTAATGCAGCATGAAATACTTTCACTGCAAAGTCTGCATCTTGCTTTGTAATGCACATTGGAGGTTTGAGTCTAAATGTCTGTAGAAAGAAAGGTAGAAAGTTTTAAATTGGAGTGGGAGGAAGACACTGGGATTGATGTAATTACATATCCATTAATCTCTGCATTTTTAAAGGTTAGTAACCATGGAAAAAATAAGGACAAACTGTAGTTGCAACAGTGGAAATATGATGTTAGGTATGTGGCTGATCATTCCTCCACTGTCCTTAAAAAACCTCCATCTATATTTTAGAGCGTGTGTCAGTCTGTCTGTTCAAGATCTCCTCCTAAACTATAAGAACTAGGACCACCAACGTATGGGCTGCGTCTAGACTGGCATGGTTTTGTGCAAAATCTTGCTGCCTGTCTACAGTGGCCATGAGGATTTGCACAAGAACACTGACTTTCATGTACAAAATCAGTGGTTCTGACGCTCAGGGATAAGCCTTGCGCAAGAGGGCCAGTGTAGACAGCAACGTTAATTTCTTGTGCTAGAAAGCCCGCTGGCTCAAATGGCCATCGGAGCTTTCTTGCGCAAAAAAGCATCTACACTGGCACAGATGCTTTTGCGCAAATACTTTTAATGGAAAAACTTTTCCGTTAAGTATTTGCACAAAATCATGCCAGCTCTGGTGATAGGTTAAGAGAAAGCTGCATAACTTAAACCAAGAGCAGGATTGGGTTCCTCCTAAAAAATGTGAAAGGGAGGGGTAGAGGAGGAGGAATTCAATACTAAGAGTAGCCCTTGGAGGCAGCTATAGCACCTAGAGTAAGAAGGGGAGTCACTGGACATCAGAGGCAGCCCCCTGGAGCCTCATTTTCCCTAAAGAACAGCCTGTGGGGGGGAAGGGCAGCTGCCAGGGCCTAGCTTCCCCTGCAGTCTGTGGGGGAGCTGCTGGATGAGGGAGCAGCCCCTAGAGCTTCAGCAGGCTGTGGTAGGGAGAGGCCCCTGCAGGCCAGAGGCAGCCCCTAGCCTTGCCACCCACAGACAGCCTGCAGGCCCAGTGGAAAGGGGGGGGGAAGCGATGGAATGTGCCCACTGGCGTAGCACCACCTTTGCTGCCATAGGTAACCCAGCTAAGACCCCTCCCAGCCCCTTGCTTTGAGTCCTATACCACCTCCCTGAAGTCTCACTCCAGCCTTCATTTTAAAAGAAAATACAGTAATTGAAATAAAGCCTATATATATTTCATTTATTTTTCACAAGAAAACCTAAAGACTTTATTAACACTACTGTAACTGGGTAGAGGAATTAAGTGAAGGGAGAGAGCTATAGCTAATCATCCAAAGCTATATTGCAGGATTCAAGTATGGAAAAAAAAATCAATTAAAACGAAGCAGAACCAGCCCAGTAAGGTGTGATTAAATAGTGCACTTCAGCCCCATGCTTGTTTCATCAACAAATAATTATATTCTACAGTATCTTAGAATGGAATTGAATTTAGTTTTAACATGTTCCCTTAATTAGTTCAGGCTTCCAGCTCTTTGAATACAACAGAACTTGGTCATTCCTATGTAAACCCTGCTGGTGCCTATCACCTGTTACAGCTGTGGTTGAGATTTGATTTAGAACATCATTTGCTTTTATGCTACTCAAATAGTAACGTATACATCCCAGGGCAAACAGTCTAAAAATCTGATGAGGCATGCATATTAATGACAGATTTAGGAAAGTTCAACCCTTGCAGTTTCTATTGCTGTCTATAAATGCTGCAGATGGTCTGTCCTCAAACAGGCTGAACTATTACTAGAAGGGATGTAAGCGATTAGTCAAGTAGTCAACTACCTGATAAGCATTGGCTTATCAGGTATCAGTCACTACTTGACTAGTCACTTCCCCCTCCCCTTTGCTGCCTGTCAGAGGCAGTGGGAAGAGCAGAAGCTGGTGCTGGGGGGAGCCTGGCGGCTCTTACTACATTTAAAAAAAGCAGAGGCGCAGCACCTGGGACTCAGCTGTCCAGGCTTGTGCCCAGTCCCACAGTGCTATAGCTCTGCCTTTTCAATGTAGTAAAAGCCTAGTGGCTCTTACTACATTTAATAAGCGGAGTCACAGCAAACTCCCTTAACTAATTGAGTAGCTGATAGAAATTCCATCAACTACTCATCTTATCAATTGCTATTTAACATCCCTAATTACTAGATGATCATTAGTAGGTGCAAATCTGTTTGGATCACTTGATTGTGCATTGTAGGAATTAATCTGAGGTGTAGTATGTGCATCATCAAATATCCTTTATCTTCTGAAGCTGGCTGATCTGAGGGAGCTGGATTAAGTCCTGGCTCTGAACACTGTCAGCAGTAGGCTAGTAACCGTACTATTACCCTGAAGGACAAAAATGCCAGCAGTCCTTAGAGAACTTATTTCAAGTGAAATGGAATAAGTTAACATATAGCAATTTACTGGGTACAATGGAAGGTGTGGATTCACAAGAGATGTTCTGGCTTATTCCCAGATGGGTAGAATTTCATCAGCTCTGAGTATGCCAGGCTGACAAAATTTAATGCACTTTTCTCTTTTCATATGGTTCTGACCATCAGCCCATGACAAAACTGAACAATGTGACAGATCTGATAGGACTAGGCATTTCTGGTTTTGGTAGCATCTAAATATTAAAAAGATAGGGTTGATGGGTGTATCATAGACTACTATTAAGGATCACATTCCTTTCTGAAGAGCAGGAATTTAAAGAGTAAATAATTTACTGAAATAATTGAGAGGATTAAAACAAAAGCATCTTGATCTGCAATATTCATTAAACAAGAAGACTTGTTTACTAACTTCCAAACTTTTTTATAGTTCTCTAAAAATTAACTTCAATTCAATTTGAAAAGTCAAATCAGCTGCAATTAAGTCAGGACAAAAGATACATAAATGAGTTTACTGTACCTGATTATACAGTCCACCCCTGCCAATCAATAATCCCATGTCTTTGCAGTTTTCCCAGATCTGACTCATCTCTTCAACTGGAAGAGGTTGACGACTGTCCTGTGGAATAGAGAAAGCAAGAGGCCTTTTGTCTAGATGTCAAACTATATTACGGGGAAAGCAACAAGTGTTCTATTGCTACCACCCATTTTTGGATAAAGTTAATGATCATCTTGCCTTTTAGGATGGGACTATTCAGAGTTCCAGATGTATTAAGCACTTTGAATATTCAAATTATTAGTGCAGAGTTCTGACTTGCTATTTTTCAGATAAATAGCTACATGCTCTCAGTTGGCATATAGTCATTTCACACAAGAGTTTTAATACTGGGTAAATAGAAGGGCATGTGCAATTTACCAACCTTATTCTTCACCATTTCTATCCCAATCATAAGGCCTTTGCCACGGACATCTCCAATGATCTCAAATTCATCTCTCAATTTAGCAAACTCCAATAGCATATAAGTCCCCACTTCTTCACTGTTCTTTTGAAGACCATCTTCTGCAATAGCCTGGTTTATGTACAAAGACCAAAGTTGTTGGAAATAATGAATTATAGAAAGTGGCTAATGAAAACACCTGTAACTAGCCTGCAAGCTCATTACCCCCCAGCAGAGATTTACAACTTCGTATTAGTAAGTCTGCCTTAAATTTTACTTTAATAAGAAAGGCCACAAAAAATCTAAACTATGTGTGTCAAATTAATCAATAGCTTATGTCATATACTTTTTCATTATTTACTCATCAGTTAATTGATCCTCAAGGTACTAATGTGTAAGCTTTACACAAACATATAAAACTGACCATGTTAAGCAGCATAAAAAAATCTTTGTCCGATTCAGTTCAGCTCTAAAAAGTGTCATAAAGTGCCATAAAAGCAATGTGACATACCTATAATTTGGCAGTGTATATTTATTACTCCTTGTAAAGCTTTCTGGTGAACATCTGAGTACATTATTATGCTGTATTTAGCAAAGCATTCATTTTAAAACTCAGTAATTATTGATTTATTTCTACCAGCCCCTGGCACAGAGTCAGGATATTACAGCATTTAATCAATGACATATTAACTTACCTCTACTCTGAATTGCAAAAATGAAGATTTTGCAATTTGAGGGTCTAAAACTCGCACAATGTCTTAATTTAATCCTACTCAGATTTGAGGATCGTGGCTAAAACATAACTTGGATTAGAGCCACCTTGGTAGCAGTTATTTTAAACAAAAAATGAGGTGTTGGAGCTCCTACACTTTAATTCTATGCTGAATGCAACAGAAGATAGATAGGCTGTTGGTCCTCTGAAGTGCTATTCTATTTGAACAAGCCTCCAGTAAATTTGGATGTAACAAGGGAGCCAGATGGTCAGAACCCTGCAATATAATATCATTACATAGAAATGAGGTTTAAGGAAGGGTGTGTACATATGACCAAGTGAATGTTTGTCTCACATCAATACGACCTATACCCTTGCCCTGCTTTTCAAGGTGTTGTATGAGGATTTAATTTCACTATTCTTTTTTGAAAGTGGAAGCTTGGTGTTTAAAATATGCTTTAAGTATGTACCTCAGAGTATATGCTTTTGCTAGGTTAGATGATTTCTATAAAGGAAAAGTGATGAACTCCATGGCTACGTCTACACTGGCATGATTTTCCGAAAATGCTTTTAACAGAAAAGTTTTCTGTTAAAAGCATTTCTGCAAAAGCACATCTAGATTGGCAGGATGCTTTTCCGCAAAAGCACTTTTTGCAGAAAAGCGTCCTTGGCCAATCGAGACGCAGTTTTCGGCAAAAAAGCCCCGATTGCCATTTTCGCAATCGGGGCTTTTTTGTGGAAAACACTACTGTGCTGTCTACACTGGCTTTCGGAAAAAGACTTTTGCCCGAACGGGAGCAGCATAGTATTTCCGCAAGAACACTGATAATCTTACATGAGATCGTCAGTGTTCTTGCGGAAATTCAAGTGGCCAGTGTAGACAGCTGGCAAGTTTTTCCGCAAAGTCAGACGATTTTGCGGAAAAACTTGCCAGTCTAGACACAGCCCATGGGACTGAACTGCTTAATTATGACACCTACTAAAGTAAACTCCGTGTACTTCTATTGACAAACAGGATACTGAGCACATAAGCAAGGAAAGAAAAAGATGAAGCTATTAATCACAGTCTATTAACCATAGCGTTATTTAATCCTCTTATTCCTGCTACAAGGCGAAATCAGTTATAGAAATGGGAGAGAGGCAATTAATTTGTTCTTATATGTGTATATCTCCAATGAATTAATAAAAATAGGTATTTCTCATTTTCTGTATATAGTAGAAGTTCCATCATTTGGAAGGGAAGTAGCACAAAGCTGCCTCTGCCAAAACACTTAGCAAGCAATAGTGTAGTAAGATACTATGAACATATCACTTTTTTCTTACATCAAGAACTGCAGATCCAACTACACAGGCCATAGGGTTTCCTCCAAATGTGTTAAAATGAAGATTTTGAGCGAAGGAATTTGCAATCTCTAAAAGAAAAAGCATACTCATTGGTTTTCTTCCTCACAATTACCTGATGACTGGTGATAAGTTCTATCAGTTTCAACTTCATGTTTAATAATATAACATTGTGCTCCAATTTAATTGTAGGCAAAAGAAGAAAAGGATATTGTTTCGGGTAACCAATTTGAAATCATTAGGGCAAAGTTTCAGAAGATACATGGTCTGTAGCAGATGCTAAAAGGAAAGGGGATGGGGTTTTAATAGATGAACAATTATATTTCTAACAGAGCTAGAGAACGGTCTAGTTAGTACACCTATGATAAAACTTATTCTTTCCTTGAGCGATTAAATCCACTGAATTGTTCATATTAACTACTCACAATTCTGGAGTTGTCCAGAATGCTTCTCTAGTACTAATGGTATGTCTCATGGGCAGGGCAATGAATTTAGAATTTCTGTGTTCTGTCAGTTCTGCCAATGACTCACTGGGCTAGGTGTCAATCTCAGTTACACCAGTATAACCATTGCTTTCAATGGATTTATTTTAGATTTGAACTGGTTTAATGGGGAGCAAAATCTGAATTGGATTAAAAAAATTCAATGCCTTGTTTTTTTGTACCATGAGGACAATATTTACTATTTCATAAGCGCGGTCTTCTGGCTGGATAAAAGGCTAGAGGGAAGCTAAGTTATTCTATAATCTATTCATTAGTCACCTCAGTGTTATGCTTTAGAATAACATACCTGATGTGGTTATGACAGCTGCCATTGGAAAGCCATTACCAATTCCTTTTGCCAAGGTAACAATATCAGGGACTACATCATGTGTTTGAAATCCCCAGAAATGGCTGCCAGTCCGTCCAAACCCTGTCTGGACCTTTCAAAAAATCCAAAATAGTTTAAGTTGTTTCTTAGTTTCATAAGTGGTATTTTATCTATGCCTTTCTGTTACCAATTTGCACTTACAGCTGTAAGATCTTAATGTCAACTTCATTCTAGCAGGTTTCTCATTCAATTGGCTTCACACAGTTTTTCTTTCCTATACTAAATACTGACTGTAGGAAAAGACAGGTTCCACTGATAGTTTTGTCGACAGCTTTTCTTTTTAATAGACACTGTACACTTCATACAAATGAAAAGTGGTATTGCATCCATCCTATCTCCTCTGTAATTATACAATTTAAATCTCTCAGTAAACAGCAATATTCAGAATAGCACCTACAAGTCCTAGTTGCTGAAGTACCTAACAAAGCTTGCTTATGAGTCATCATACTGCTGGCACCACAGGTGTTTGGTGAATTTCAGTACTGAGCAGCTACAAAAAGTACAATACTACGGGCATGTCTACACTAGTGAAAAGATCAACCCTCCAGAGGTTTGATTTAGCAGGGCTAATGTAGACCTGTAAATGGAATGCTGAGGGCAGCCACCACTGGTGTCTGGTACTCCTCGTTCTGCAAGGAGTAAAGGAAACTTAACGGGAGCGTGTACTCCCCTCAGCCTCCTGCTGTGTGGATGCCATCACAGCATGGCTTAAGGTAAGCTGACTCTAGCTAAGCATTTTGCATAACTGGAGTTGCTTAACTTAAATCAACCTGCCTGGTCTAGTATAGACAAGGCCTAAGAGTGTTTTTATGATGACAGTTAACACCCTTTCTCCTAGTTAACATGGCGAGAAGGACTGAGAAGTTATGAATGGGAGTTGTAGCTGTGTAGCACTTTTCAGAATTTCTAGTTTCAAGCTATAATAATTCTAACACCTCTAGCACAGTATACTTTAGTCACTCAACCTGTGTTTCCATGAGTTAGTTATCAGTCAGACTGTCTTAACCAAGCAAATCAGATTAAATTGGATTAAAATATGTAACTGCAAAAGAGTTGTAGCAGGCTACCCTCTAGATCTCATCCAGCTACAGTGACACTTGCCTTGTCTACACTACGGTTTTACAACGTTATCTTGTAAAAACTGTTTTCCTAATCAGTCACTCTGGATCAGGCTTTAAATATGTAATGGTAAGTTTTTAAGAATCATATTTTATGCCGCCATAAACAAGTCAATGGTACTCTACCCAATCAGTGAAATGGTGCTCTGCTGAGCCGGTCTTAGGGGCGGGAGAGCGTGGCAGTTGCCTGGGGCCACCGTTTTCAAAGGGCCGCTGACAGAAGCCCGCTCGGGACACATGGCAACTGAAGGGGCTGTGACCCGTATTTTGGCCCAGCTCCCGCCCCTTTTTTTTGCTTGACAACTTTTCCCTGGTGGTTGCCTGGGGCTTCCAATTGGTTAGGACCAGCCCTGGTGCCCTGTAACAGAAACTGTCAACTGAGAACTATCATTATTAATGTAATGCACAGGAACGTGAAGAATTAATAACTTCTGCTATTAACTTTGTCTAGCAAAGGCTCTTGTGCTGGAATTCCATTCTTTGGTCCTCTCTTAGGCTGTGAAACTGGAAAGGCTAAACTATTTTGAGGGTCTGTATTTTACATTCATTCCAATTGCTGGCTTTTTCAGTGGCCTGGCAGAAATAGCCCCTTCCTCCCCGCAAAAAAACTGGGTTTCTGGATACTCACTTCATCTGCGACACAGACGCCTCCTCTCTCACGCACTAGCCGAAAAGCTTCCTTTAGAAATCTTTTAGGATACTGAACAGCTCCATTAACACCCTGTCAAAAATGTGCAAATATGTATTGTCTTTGGCACAAACTCTACACCACAAACACTGGCAGTCCTCAGGTGATCAGCCAGTGAGAACTTTAATTCACTACATAACTAAATCACCAAAGTTCCTTGTGTCATAGATCTTTTCAGATGCATTGCCCAACAGGCAGAATTAGAGACAGTGGCTGTCTTTGAAATTTGAATTCTCAGTTTGTATCAATATTACATGGGCTATAAAAATAAAACAATGCGAAGTTAGGAGACAGTGAAAAGTAAAAAAAAAAAAAAATCATGACTCCAGCCTTCTCTTTCTAATGCAAATGCATCTGTTGGCTGCAAGTGGGTTCTAGGTGGGTCACAGTCTCAGTGTGAAGAGGAGACTGGGAGGAGAAATGAGCCCATCCATTACTCACTGCACAGCAGCAGATCCTGTCTTGTGAAGCTGGGCCTAGTTCTCTGAAGCTGGGCCTAGTTCTCTTCAGCAGGACTTGAGACCTAGCAGAAGGGCCAAACCTGAGTGGAACTACAACTCTATCTGCCAGGTTGAACAGTAGAGAACTAAGCCCAGCCCTGCAGGTCCCATCTCGTGTCTCTTCCCAAGTGTGGGTCACACAAAGTGGCAACAAAACATTTTAAAAAAGGTCCAGCACAACTTGTTTACTTATCCAACAGCAAATATGCGTCAGAGAATTATATTCTGTTTGGCGCTGATAATATCTGGACTATTGTAACACTTGTATGCACATTACAGCCAGAATGGGATAAACTGGAGAGAGTTCACAGAACAGCAGCAAATGTGAACGGAGAGCTGGAGAAAGTGATTTGGAATAGATTTAAAGAAACATATACACGTAAGCTAAAATGTCAAAGGTTGGAGGGATAACATAATAGCCAGAGTTTTGCAGCTTCTATATGCTCCCAAACAAGAGAGAAATTAGGTGTAATGTGATGAAACTAAGCAAGGATAAATTTAGTACAAATATCAGGATAAAATTTCCTTCAGTGAAATTGTTATACTGTGGAGAATATTCCCAATGGAACAGATAAGAAACATTAGACTGGCTAGAACAACTGAAAACATACTGTAAGGCATGATTTTGGTTTTGGAGCAAGATGGAATTGATGGCCTAAAAGGCATTTCACCTGCTTAATTTAGACCAATATGTTCAATAATGGACTATGAGGTTCATGACAGCAGAATGCCTAGAGCCTATAGGAGCTAATGATACTGAACTACAGCAGCATTGCCAATAGAGAAATCCCTTTGCTCCAACAATGCAATCATGAAGGACAGAAATGAGGAGAGTCAGAAATTACAAAAGAAAGCAGAGGGGATAAGAGCTTCATATTGCATTTTACCTACTTTATCTAGCAAATCCACAGAAATCCAAGTAATTCCTAAAATTAATTCCTTGTGTTACAACAATTAGGCATTTTAAAATATGATTTACTGTAGGACTGGATATCAATCCTGGGGTGATTTTAGTGTCACTTTAAAATACTTTTAATAACTAGGAATAGAGTATTAGCAACTAAGTTTAAGATTGTATCATTTATTAGCATTTCAACATAATAGCATAAAAATAAGATCTTGAAGAAGAAGAATAAGAGCTATGTACACTTTTCAGACTATCAATTGATAGTAGATATGCCTTTGCTGAACACAAACCATACAGGCAACAGTGGTTAAAATGACCTATTTTGCTAGTGCCTGCCATACTTTATTAAATATGTGTATATTTGCTAAATATTGAGCAAATTATTTTTAAAAGCAATCTATGAAAAAGACAGTAGGCTTGTAAGAATAAATTTGATTTACCAGTTTTGTTTTGTAGGAATATTATGGGTGTCAAGTCGCCCACTAATTTGTTATTGAATAGAAAGGCTATGGAAAATATATTAATCCTGCTCTCAGTTATCAAGGGAAAAAAAACAACACAAAATAAAAAAACTACACAAAAGTGAAATCATGGCTTCACTGAAGTCAGAAGCAAAACTTCTTTTTGACTTCACTTGGGTTAGAATTTCTCCCAGGATGCATCATTGGCAGTTAAGATTTAAGTAATGTTCCAGCCCTTTCTTTTGGATGATCAAAGTGGTTCAAAGATGACTAAAAGTACAGTTTTTAGAAGGAAGTTACATTTAAGCCTTATCAACCTTGCAAAAGACTTGTTCATGTTTTAGCTCTTTGTGGTTTAATGTACTATTACGATTAGAATGAGACATGGCAAGTCACCTACTTGAATTGGCTCCGCGATAAACCCGGCTATTGCCTTTGGCACACAAGTACTCAGAGTGTCATTGAACTGTTCAATGTACCGGTCATTTGCTTCACAACAACCTGTGTTGAGGAAATATTGATAAAAATAATGTACTGAAAATAAACACAAAGTTAGACTGATAATGTGAAACTACAGTGTTTTAACATATACGAAGAGCATCTTTTTAGTGTTTGAACATATGTAATAAAAACCTGTAATGTTCTCAGATTAGAGTTAACAAAGGAAATTAATCATTTTGCTTCCCTGTGTGTTATCTGAGGCAGCCAGCCAGTCTTTTTTCTTAATTTTCCTGATTTACAGAAGTTGAAAAACAGCCACTGTCTGATGATAATGACATATCTTGCCCCATCTACAACCCCCTCCAGCCACTATGCTTTTTAAAATAATTAAAATTCCAAAGAGTCAGTGCACCAAAAGAAAGTGGCAGAATGAGTCTTGCCCCTTCCTTCAGACCAGTGCTATCTATTCAAGGATGGGTGGGGAAAGGGGAGAATCAGTGATTATGGAGAACTGAACATCAGCCCAAGGAATGAATAAGCGGTTTGCCTGGATAAAAAAAAACCCCTAACTGGTTTTAAGACTCAGCTTGACGAGATCATGGGGAGAAGGTATGATGAGATTGCCTACAGTGGCATGTTCAAATATCTCCAATGGCTGGTAATGGGACACTAGTTTGGGAAGGGCTCTGAGTTACTACAGAGGATTCTTTCCCAGGGCTGTGTCTAGACTGGCCAGTTTTTCCGCAAAATCAGCTGCTTTTGCAGAAAAACTTGCCAGCTGTCTACACTGGCCGCTTTAATTTCCTCAAAAACACTGATGATCTTATGTAAGATTGTCAGTGTTTTTGCAGAAATACTATGCTGCTCCCGTTCGGGCAAAAGCCCTCTTGCGCAAATCATTTGTGCTAGAGGGCCAGTGTAGACAGCACAGTATTGTTTTGCGCAAAAAAGCCCCAAAGGCTAAAATGGCAATCGGGGCTTTTTTGCGCAAAAGCGCGTCTAGATTGGCTTTTCCGCAAAAAGTGCTTTTCCATTAAAAGCATTTCTGGAAAATCATGCCAGTCTAGACGTAGCCCAGGTGTCTGGCTAGTGGGTCTTGTCTAAGGATGTAAGAATTTAACCAGTTAACCAATAAGCTGGTGCTTATCCATTCTGGTTAGTGGTTAAACTTCAGTGGGCTTCCAACGCTGGGAGCCAATCGCACTGGGAGCCATGGTGCTGGCATCCCGTGGGGCTGACGCCACCAGCAGCCCATGAAGCCAGCAGCCCACAAAGCTGGCAGTCCATAGGAGCCGGAGACTGGTGAGGCCAGCAACCTGTGAAGCCAGCAGCCCATAGGGGCTGGAGGCGAAGCGCCTGCAGGGCCACAGCCCAGCAGAGCTCATTTAAACATGTAACTAATTTAAATTTGAATCGGTTACATATTTTTAGGGTTTTTCACATTTCTAGTCTCGCTCACATGCTCAAGGGCTCACCCCATTTTGGGTCGGGAAAGAATATTCTCCCCCACCCCTGTCTTTCTTGTTTTCCTCTACAGCAGGAGCCTCAGTTCACTAGTTTTTTGAATTAGAGTAAATGGTTTATCCTTTGTAACCTGAAGTCTTTAAATCATGATTTGAAGACTTCAGTAGCTCAGTTAGAGGTTATCAGTCTACTACAGGAGTAGATGGCCTGCAACATGAAGTTCTGTAGCCTGCAATGAACTTTACTAGATGATCACAATGTTCCCCTCCTGGCCATAAAGCCTATGATAGGATAAATATAAAACAAAGTACATCTTGGTCCAGCATGATTACTAATGAAAAGACAGGTGAGAACATTATGGAAAATTTGACTATATGTGACACGGTATCACTATGCACTATAATAGAACACAAATCAGATGTCTAACCAGTTGCAAACTAGTGAGATTCATCCCTTTATTCACCATCCGGGACAAAAAAGATGGCAAGAGATTGCTTTGTTGCGTAGTTGGGGAAAAGTGAGTAAATGTTTATTGCATCTAGGAGAAAAAATATATTTTCTAATTATCATTTGTAGAAGAACAGAGAAGCTTTCCAATGGCCTCGACACAGTGTGGTATCCATAATGCCTTGTTCCAGGCAAGATTTTTGCCACACAATTTTGCCCTCAATAGCAACCCATTTTAGAGTTTCAGGTTTACATGTTGCATTGATCATATGTCCCTTCAATATGAAAGCTACCAAAAAACTTTACCCAGGAAAGCAGAAAACACAATTGTCAGTATCCCTAAGCTCCTGGCAACTCTTAGAATATTTCAAAGCAGCAGGCTGCTGATTATGAGAACAGAACTTGACTTGATTGTTAGGATTTTCAAAGGATTCCACAGGTGTGAGATGTCCAGCTCCCACATATTTCCCAATTTCCTTAAGTCCCTTTGAAAAAAAAATCATAGCCTCGCAGCCCTATTGATGAAGACTCAGTACATGGCAATATTCATAATAGCATGCATGTATTTGTCCTTGTTACTAAACATCTAAGCTATGTCTACAGTGGCGAGTTCTTGCGCAAGAACTCTTTTGTGGAAGAGTTCTTTTGTAAAAAAATCTTCCACAAGAGCGTGTCCACACAGCCATGTGCTTTTGTGCAAGACCATCCATGGCAGCATGGACGCTCTCTTACGCAAGAAAGCTCCGATGGCCATTTTAACCAGAGGGGTTTCTTGCGCAAGAAATTCATGTTGCCTGTCTACACTGCCCTCTTGTGGAAGAGCCCTAGCATAAGAGGGCTTATTCCTCGTGGGGAGAGGAATAACTCTTCTGGAAGAAGCCCTGTTTTACAACACTAGACTGTACATTCACTTGCGCAAGAATGCGCGTGCAGTGTAGACAGCAGGTAAGTTTTTGCACAAGAACGACTGTTCTTGAGCAAGAAGCTGCCAGTGTAGACATAGCCCTAGAGCCTTCTCCAGTCCCTTCTCTTTTGCACCTACCAGCAGACATTTTTTGACACCAACTAACCTTGAGAACAACTGCATTTCCGAATAGTTTGCACTGGAGAATCTCGGCAATGGCTTCCTCCCCACAGACCACGGAAAACATCTGGTAACATGGTCTGCAAAGCACAGTGAACAGCTATAATTTCATCAGTGCGAGGCATGCAAGTACTGATCAACAGAAAAATGTTTACACGGATATTCTGAAGGTTGTTAAACACTTTATTCCAATATTCCTTTTATTATAATTACAGTAAACTTCTGATAATCCGGCACCTTTAGGACCCAGGGGGTGCCGGATTATCAGATTTGCCGGACTATCAGAAGGGGGGGCTATGAGGGGCCTGGGCTGGGGGGGGATGCCATCCCAGATCCCTCATAGCCCCCCCTTCCGATAGTCCGGCTCTGCCCCAGGCGTCCCTGATTCAGCCGCTGCTGGTCAGTTTCAGCAGCGGCTGGAA